TCTGTACTTCCCCGTGCCACCCCATTACTGGCTACTGCCACTCTACTCCCTTCACACTGCCTTTTGCCTGAACTAGATCCCACACATCCTTCAGACCTGAGACACAACAGATCCCTTCTTTATTCCCTCTTTTTTCTGCCCAAATACTATTTACCCAGAGCTTTCTTGGGTGAGGCTTAGCTGGAACACAGTAATGTGTGTCTGGAGCTAAGCCCATGCCAGGAAGCTGATTATCTGTCCAGGGCTGGAGGGGAGATGAGAATTCCCTGCCTGGCATATAACGGGTGCTCAAGCAATATTTGTGGAATGAATGGAAGCTCAGGACAGAAACCACCCTAATACAAAGGGAGACTTTTGGCCCACTCCCACCCCCCTCCCAGCCTGTTTACCTGAAAATCACACCCTGATTCCAGGAGCCACCATCATCACAGCTGGCCCCGAGGGCGTGTTCCTCTGAGAGTGGGTAGAATTAGAATCCTTTCCACTTCCTACCACAGCAAACTGGCAGAAACTTTTAAAGGAGCTACATCAGTCTTTAAAAACAACATAGTGAGGCTGCATGGGTTTAAATCTCAATTCTGTCATTTACTAGCAGAGTAGCTAGAGCAAGTTTCTTAACCTCTCTGAGACTCCATTTCTTCATCTGTAACATGGAGGCAAATAATCCCACCTTACTGTGAGGACTAATAGTATAATTAGTCGTTCCGCTGACTCGCACATTCTGTGATGAGCCGGACATGTAAAGTGAGAGAAAGTGGTGTGCAGTGGGTACTCTTCTTTGGTTTCTGAAGTAAGCCTCCAGCTATATGGAGACAACTCACTTCAGCTTGTGATGAGTCCACCCACCTATAGACAGGCTGCTCACAGCTGACAAAAATCTCTCAAAGAATCTCCCCACAGATTCTTAGGTTCTTTCCTCTCTCATTCCCCTTTTTGCTCTCTCCCTCCGAGGGCAAGAGTTTCTACTCCTCAGGCCCTCTGGAGAAAGCAGTGACGGGTGCTTGTGGTTGAGAGTTCATTCCTGAGGGAGCAGTGACATTTCTATTCTCCTTCAGAGGCAACAACATGGAAGAAACTGGCTTACTAACCCAGCCCCCATACACACACACACACACACACACACACACACACACACACACACACAATGGCTAGAATTGAGAGAAATTCTTCACGTGGGGCATTTATACTTTATAAAAGAAGAGCATGTCAATCTCAACTATTTTAGCACCATATTTTAATAAGGCCTCTGACAAACTAAGTGTCAAAAGTGTTATCCAAGACAGTGTGTGCTCTCCAAATTAATGTTAGCAAAGTTTACTAGAAGGACTGCTGCTGCTGGGCCAGGATTTTGAGGAGGGATATGAGCAATGTCCCCAAATCCTTGAAAGGCTTTGGCAAAGTGTGTTAGGCTTATTCTGGGTAGTTCCAGAGAACACCAGTATCAATGAGAGGAAGCTACGAGGAGACAGTGTCTCACATAGTGGAGAGAGTTTCCAAACAGAGAAGTCAAAAATAGTGTTGACTTCCTTGTCATACCCAATGTTCTTCCCCACTGAGTGACATTTATAGACCATTTATCCAAGATTTCCTAGGGCCAATAATTTCATGTAATTATTTGAATTCAAGGTGATTTGTTCAATTTATGGCAAAATATTATTTGATTTTGTGCCCCTGTTCAACACATCATGCCAGGAAAAAACTACCTTTGATTAGGTCAAGCATGCTGATTTTGGGCTTGCAAACAATGGGAGATTTCTATGTTAGGTGGAAGTTTAGCCTCCAAGTGTTCCCAGTCCCGAAATTCTATGATAAATAGGGTGGTGGTGGTGATTTAATATGAGCAAGTGCCCAGGAATCAAATGGAGAACTCTCTTTCCGGGCTCTGTCATTGAGTGGTGTCAGCTTTGGCCCAACAAACAACGCCCAAACTCTGACACCTGCTGAATCCCCTGGAACAGAGAGAGAGAGCCGTCAGAAGGGTATGAGGCTCCCATGCTGAGCATCTATATTGTGCTTTAGCGACCAGATAGATATATTTGCAACTCATTGTCACAATGCACTAATTTCTAATTAGTTACTAATTAGCACTCATTTTTTTAAAATATAAGAGAGCTCCCACAAATTAATAAGGAAAATAAGAAAAGGGCCAAAGACCCAAATTAAAAGACGGCAAAAAATATATAGACAGTCATGGAACAGGAAATACAATCTCTATGCATTTGAAATGATGCTGATGCTCCTAATCAAAGAAATTCATTTTAAAATTAAAATTACAGGGAGGACTATCTCACACCCATTGGGATGATACAAAAAGAAAAAAGTGTTAGCAAGGATATGGTAAAATTGTATCTTTGTGCACCGTTAGTGGGGTTGTAAAATGGGGTACAACTGCTATAGAAAACAGTATGGCAGTTCCTCAAAAAAATTAAGAATAGAATTACCATGTGATCCAGTAATTTCACCTCTGAGAATATTCCCAAAAGAAACTAGAGCAGGGTCTTGAAGAGATATTTGTATACCCACGTTCATAAAAGCATTATTCACAATAGCCAAAAGAGGGAAGCAACTCAAATGTCCATCAACAGATGAATGGATAAACAGTGTGGCAGATAGATAGATGAAAGATACAGATAATGTAGACTATTATTTAGCCTTTAAAAGGAAGAAAATTTGCATACATGCTACAACATGGATGAAACTTGAATACATTATGCTAAGTAAAATAAGCCAGCCAAAAAAAAAAGAAATACTGTATGATTCCACTTTATATGAGGTACCAAGAGTAGTCAAATTCCTGGAGGTGGGGTTGGGGGTAGAGGAGAATGGGGAGTTATTGTGTATAGAGTTTCAGTTTTTCTGGAGATGGAGGATGGTGGTAATGGTTGCACAACAATGTAAATGTATATAATACCATTGTACACTTAACAAATTAGTAAGATGGTAAATTTTATGTTATGTGTATTATACTACAATGAAAAATATTTTTTAAAAATTACAATGAGATGTCATTTTAACCTTCCCTCTATTGGTAAAGATCACAAATTAGAAAACGTACTATGTTGGCAAAAGTGGCACGAAAATAAGCATACTCATGTTTTGTTGGTGGGAACAGAAACATATAATCTTGGAACACAAACATAAAAATTTTTCAATATTTGTGAAGATTAAAATTGCAATTACCCTTTGACCCTTTGGTCAAGCTGTTTTACTTCTAGGAAGACATCTTACTCCCACATATATGATTTGGCATATGATCAAGGTTTTTCATTGCAGCAAAAGACTGGAAACAACCTCGATGTCCATTGATAGGAGCAAGCAAAATAAATTATTACTATCCAATAGAACACAACAGAGTAATATGCAACTGTTAGAATTAAGATACTCAGTATGTGCTGATTCAGAACAATCTCCAAGGTAGTGGTAATTATGCAAATATGTATATACTGTGCTACCAGGTGTTTAAAAATGAAATGAAAGAAGAATATGGGTCTATGTTTTCACTTTCTTTTGCCTAAAATTACTGCAAGTAGAGGCAAGAAACTGTTAACAGGTCACAGTAGTCACTCCAGTTATGTCTATGGGGGAAAGCTAGACAGGTAGGAGACCATATGCAGGTGTGATGTGGTCGATTTGTTTAGTTAAAAAAAAAAAGAGGTTATAGTCTAGAAGGGAAGAAACACACAGACACTTTTTAGACCAAAGCCTTGTGCTGAATGCTGTGGGAACAGAGGAAGGGTGGCTAGTAAAGCCTAAAGGAATCAGGGAAGACTTCTAGACAATCCAACCCCTAGGAAGAAATTTCTGCTATTGGATCAGGAATAGTTGTGCATCTTCTCTTAAGCATTGGTTTGTTTTTATCTCATAGACAGATCTATAACTTAATTCACCGATTAGGTTTCCCTTTCACTTTGGCTGTTAGAAAGTCCAAGCCATCCTCATGACCTGCACCATGCAGGGTGGGCAGGTTTCTATGGTAAGCATTTGGCATTGGCCTTGTACTTGGCTCCATTTTCTATTTCTGCATTTGGTTTGCTTTTCACCTGTTTCTAATATTGGTCATCTTTCCTTGTTCTGTGCTTCCCTATAAAGCCACTGTATAGCCTTTGCAGTCTAAGCTGGGATAAGTGGGTAAGTGCAGAAAGAGGGAGGGAGAGGAAGAAAGAGAAGATAGAGGTGAAAAAGTAATGCCGATCATTTTCTTTAGCTGTCATGTAGAGTAAGTGAATGCTGTAGTGTCGTGGTTTTCAAAGTGGGGTCCTTAGATCGGCAGCATCATTACCACCTGTGAGTTTGTTATACATGAGTTTCACCCAACCTACTAAATCAGAATCTCTGTGGATGAGGCCCAGGAAACTGCTTTAACTACTCTCCCAGAAGATTTTTATGCACATTAAAGTTTGAGAACCACAGAGAAACCAAAGGAATGTTGATTTCTAAACCTAAACATTTTGCATTTGCCCCATCATACCCATTGTATTGGCCAAGATATGTAATGCTACTGCAATAAACAATGCAAAAAAAAATTCATTAGCATAACACAATAAAAGTTTATTTTTTTGTTCATGTCACAGTCTAGTATGGATCATTGTGGGTGGAAAGAGCTGTTTTGTTGATTTGTTCTGCAAACCAGCTTCCTTTTAAAATGAGGCTTTGCCATCCCCTAGGCCCTTGGACTCCTTCTCTGAATCCTCTACATTTGAAAGGCAGGGGAGGAGGGAAAGAGAAAGGAGTTTTAGTGGCAGGTCTAAAAGGAACACCCATCTTTTCTACCCACAATTCCTTTGGCAGGAACCCAATCACATGGCCTTCCTAACTGAAGAGGAGGCTGGGAAACAGGATGTATCTTTGGAGCTAGGAGGAAAAGAAAATGACTTTGGTGAACACATAGCATGGTTTCTGCCACACCCATGGACCTGAGTGAATCCCAAACTCCACTTGTCATGTTTTGGTTTTGGGTTTCATTTTCTAATCACATTTTCTTTTCTCTTTTTTCACTTTAGCACTATGAGACTGAATACATTTCTCCTTGCGATGGCCGTCCTGCTCTATGGTAAGCACCCTTGTCTTGGTAAAGTCCTAGAATCCTTCCAGTGTCTCCTGATGAGTCTGACCACAGGAAGCCCCAACCTAAGCCTTGGCAGGTTTTACTCACTTTCTAGCCAGCGTTGCACAATACCACATGCAAAAACAGACTTTTCTGGAGAAGAAGGAAACATCATGATTGAGAACAGGTATCTTGCTGATGGCAGGCCCAGCCTGGGATGGAGCCCTACGACCTCTGTGCATCCTCCTCTTCTGCCGTCTCATACCCGTGGTGCAGGATACACAAAGTAGGGTAGACTGGCCTGTCTAGTGACACCCAGGGAGCCAGGGAAAGGTCCCTGCTCTGATACCCCTGCTTTGATAAGTCTTTTGCTCCACCCATATTCCCTTCTGGCCTTCCCTGTTCCCATTTCTGTCATTCTTGGGCTTTTTGAAATAGCTGAGGCTGCTAAAAGCCTCCTTCCATTAGGAGCATTGGCTTCCATGTTCCCTACCTTCTCTCTCCCCTCCTCTATCTTCCCCACCAGCCAACATCTATAAATCATACTTGCCACTGCTTACTGGGAGGAGCAAAAATCCCAGCCCTGCTTCAGTGACCTTCAGCTGGTTGCATTAGGTGATGTACCATGAAGCTAATGAAGCTGAGCTGCAGAGCGTCTCACTTGCACAAGTCCTGTCCAAAGCCCCTCCAAGACTCCATGAAGGGCCCTAGCGGTGTGGTCACGTGTCCCATGCTTTGGCAAAACCTTCGAAAGTAAGATATTTTAACCACGCTAAGTTAAGACCACTACCTCTCTTTACTGAGACTTTTCTCTCCATCACATTCTCCTTGTGTTGGGTGGTGTTGTAGTGGCCATGGGCATTTTGCACTTGAATTCTTCATTCCTTTTCTTAAAGAACCCCCCCCCCAAAAAAATGTAGAAGTGTCAGGCCTCACAGAACTTGTATCTTCCCTGCTGCTCCTCTCTGAGTTTCAGTTTCTTCATCTGCCAACAAGTTGGTGGGGTTCCTATCACACATCCTATGACTTTAGTTTGGATGTCTTTAGTGTCCCACCCCTTCCTGCTGCTCATTTTCCCCCTCCTCAGCACTGAGAGGGAAGCCATCCCACACATACATCCTGGTGTGGGCCAGACAGGGAGGGTGAGCTGAGCCTGCACTTTGGCTACAGCAGCACGTAAGCTGCCCCTGACTCACCGATCCAAGTTCGGCTCTGGCTGTAATAGTTCTACATCTCCTCAGCCACACCTGTGCAGACCCTCTCTGGGTGTTTTCTACAGATGATTCAGATGGTTACACCAGCAGGTGGGTGAAACCATTCATTGAGATAGAAGACAGGAAAGCTTGAAGGGGAGGAAGAGAGTATCTATCACTATCTGAACAACAGCATCCAGCAGGCAGTTGGACATGGATACCTGGAACTTGAGTGAAAGTTATTGGCTGGAGATAAGCATCAGTGAATTGTTAGTTTATGTTTGGCAGTTGAATCCATGGGGAAAGAGGAGAAAAATCAGAGACAGTGTGGAGAGTAAGGAGAAGATCACGAGCAGGCACTCAAGGTAATCAGTGTTTAAGGAGTAAGCAAGGAAAACTGACCAGGAAGTCAGAGATTGGGAAAGAATAGAATTTCAAGAAGAGATGGCCAACAGTTTGCCATTCAACAAGATTAGGTCTGGATTTGACAATGGTGGGACGTCACTGACAAACTTTGCCAAGAAAGTTTTGACAGAGAGGTAGGGGACTGAGGCTGGGGATGAAGGCAGTAATTGCTGCTTACTCTTCCAGGAAGTTTGACTATAAGAGAAAGACAAACTAAAAGCAGTAGCAAAGAAAACTGCTGAAGTAACTGCTGTGAGGAAGGGAGAGGGTGATAAGCAGCGTGAGCAGCCCAGAGGTCAAGTTAAGTGGAACAGGAGACTACAGGTTTGTAATGTCTTCAGTATGAACAATTGAATAACTTCCTTCAGGAGTGCTCAAATATTCGCTTGTAAGAACAGATATGTAGATCTAGAGTGTTCTTGAAATAAATTCTGCACAAAGGGGCAAGTTTATTGAAGTTGCTGGCAAGAGAATGACTGAAAAGATATACTATCACTGTGCTGTCCAATGGGATAGCCACTAGCCACATGTGGCTATTTAAATTAGTTCAAATTAAATAAGATTAAAAATTCAGTTCTCAGTCGCACTAGCTACATATCAAGTCCTCAACAAGCACAATGGCTGGTGACTACCATATTGGTCAGCACAGATATAGATCATTTTTATTGTTGCAGGGTTCTTTCGGAAAGCATTGCGCTATAGGGTCTAGACTGGATAAAGTCGAGGTCTTGATAAAATCGAAGGACAGACATAGGTGAAGCAATGAAGAGCAAATCTTGGAGGAAGCTATCTTGTGGACAGAGATGGGTACTTTGAGGTTTAAGCTTCTCAGGGCAGAGATATTCTTGGTGATAAGGTTCAGAGTTATGTCATGGGAGAGGGGCTGCTAGTAGAGCCTGTGGATGACTCTCCGAAGTAGAAGAGAATGAAGGACTTTGAGATATGGTTGTTGGTGAACTCATCCATACTGAAGTCACCCAAATTGATAGTAATAATTGGTTGGAAAGAAAGCCCTTGCATTTAATGCCAAAATGCTCAGTGAGCAAGGAAGTATTGACAAATGAAAGGCTTGACTAGGCTTCTAAAAGGCCTAGTAAAGCTTTGGAGGAAGTTTAATAAAAGAAGAAAATTTCATGAGTACAGATAAGCATAGTAATATGAGGACCAGATGATACTTGAGTATATAAGACATGCATTTGGGGTGGTGGCCAGGGAAGACTGAAGTCCCAGGTAGGTTCGGAGACCTCACAAGGATTAGAAGACTGTAGTTTTTGTGTGACATTCAAACAATATATTACTGAAGAAGTCCTCAAGTATCATTTGAAGCAAAGTCTTCCAGCTGATTGGGAAGGTGGCTGCATTGATTCTTGGGTGCCCAGTTCCTGACATCATCATAGTAGCCAGTTATAGCTAGACCCAGACCATATCTGTTACCCAAGTGCTGAGGAGCAGACAGAGTCTCAATGCTTACCCACCACTGCACTCCCACTGAGTCCAGTACCTGGGTGGCCTAAGGTCTGGTGTTATAACAGGGGAGGCCTGATGCCGCTTAGTGAAAACAGACCTTGAGCTAAATCTTTCCCATATGTCAGAAAAAGGATTCGTATGCATAGCTCTGAGTGATGTCATGGAAGCCAGTGGTCGGTGAGGAACTATGGAGTATAAATTGTGAAATACTTTCAGTTCCACTCAGAATGGGCTTCAGAGTGATTTCCACCCCAGGGTGAGAAGAGAGGGTTTTGCTAGAAAAAAAAATTGGTCCTGTCATTTCCTCTGTTCCACTCTGGAGGCAGAGCTAGAGATCATCTATTGCAGCCTCTCAAACTGGAGCTCTTGTTAAAATGCAGATTCTGACTCAGTAAGTCTGGGTGGGGCCAGAGATTGTGCATTTCTGACCAGTCCTCCTCCTCCACCCCTGATGCCAATGCCTTTAGAACACAGACCACACTCTCTGTTGGTAGGTGAGGAGGGGAGCAGCTATGTGGGCAGGGTGTGGGGGGAGATGAAGCCCTTTTAACCTTTGGGAGAGGGGGCCTGGGTCAGAGAAGTTGGACTGGTCTGTGAGTGAAGAGAGTGGGTGGGAAGGAGAGAAGGTACTGTGAGGCTCAGCAGAGAAACAACCATAAATCAGGAAGACAGAAGCCAATGGCGAAGTCATTTCCAGGCCCAGGGGGCACAGTTGACCTCTGAGTAATAACAACCTTGACCGTTAACTGGCAGAATTTCCAACTCTGTGTTTGGTTTCTCCATTAGATCATTTGCCCTATATCAAATGGCAAGTTACTGGTATAGCGAGAATCAGTTTCCCCAGAGATAGCTGCTAGAAGCTCTTACAGCAGGTGGCACTCTTAGCTTATCATTCAGTTTAGCAAAGGCGCAGCAGGAGCCTCAGGATTGCCTTGTAAGGTAATTCCTGAATACAGTACATTTTCCTTAGGTCCCCCTTTCACTGTTTCAGATACCCAGGTAGGTTTTCCCACCTCTCTCCTATATGGGAAATGTATCCAGTATAGATGTATTTTATACTTTCAAGTGCTTCACAGGATTCTAGTGAGTGGAATGCAATAGGCAGTGATTCAAACGTGTGCCAACTCTCACTGATGCCTGGAGCCCTCTTCCCTTTGAGTTCAAGACCACTACCAACTCCCAGTTCTCACTGAGCCACTCTGCACATAGTTCAGTTTAGCCAAGTGTGTGTCACTGTTATTTGTCCTTCTATTTCTTCTTAGAAGAGAAACTCATAGATCAGATCAGTTTAATTACTTTTCCTACCGCTCTTCAAAGCACAAGTCAAATGACACTCCTCTCATCTCTCTCTTCAACCTACTCCCCTTTCCTCCTTAATATCAACATACCTCTACTGAAATTCTGAATGATGAAACTTTATTTAAAACCCACCCTAACTTCCTCCTCAAGGTGGCATCTAACAGCATATTAACTAAGAAACAGCATTTCCCCCCTAACCCTGCACCTCTCACCCACCACTAATTCCTTGGCCAAATCTTAACTAATTCTGTGACCCAAAATAGGTTCTACGAAAACCCTATAATCAATCACATTTAAGAAGTTAGGTGGCCCAAATCCCTTCCACAAACTCTAATGTGTCCTCAGGGATGAAAGCCTTACTCTGAACTCTCCCAGAGACTCACCTCCTCCAGGAGTTGTAAAAATTTCCAGGGCAATGCATACTGGGAAGAGCAAGTTTGTGGTAATAGGGGTTTCCCTAATACTCCAAAAGCACATCCTCACCTTCCCATCTATGATTCATTACCAGCATTTCATTCATGTCCAGCATTTCATTCATGTACCTGAAATGGTCTTTGACCACCATAATCCCAAAACAACCATCATGTTTGCCCAGTTCTCTTTCCGATCTCAGAAAGAGCTTAGAGAGGTCACTGAGATTAGAGGCATTGGATGACTATTTGTGTCATTTCCAAACTGTTTTATATCCTTAGGAGAGCTGGCCTTGCTTGACAGCAGCAATCATGAGAGAAGTTCTGTAAAGGAAACTATTTGAATTTCAAAGATATTACTCAATATCATACTCAACTATTGTAGCATAATGAAAGGAAGGATGTCAAATTGTTACCATTATCAGAAATCTTTCCACTATAGCAGGCCAAGTAATAAGGGGATAAGAAAGGAAAGGGAAAACTTTTGGTGATGGTGTAGAAGTAATGGGGCCTGTAACAGCTACGGTAAAGAGAATCAATATTCAGATGAAAGGAAGGTAGCAGATGGGTGAGTGAGTTGTCCAGCTACTGGTTTTCCCTGTTCTGGGATTAAATTCACAGAATCCTAGTACTGGAAAGATCCTTAGAACATTTAGTTCACCCCTTCATTAAGCAGATAGGGAAACAGCCTCATAGCAGTTGTATCTGCATATGGTTGCACACATTTAGTTAGCAGTGGAATGAGAACAGAAGTCCCATTCTCCAGATGCCAAGATGTGCGCACCGTCCCAGAGTTAAACGTCTAGTTCTTCAATCTCATTACTGACAAGATAGCATCTGGGTATTGTCTAAAGAGAAGTGGAGTTGTTGTTCTTCTTCCTTCTTGTTTCCTTCTGCTCCTACTTTTCCACCTTTCTTTTCTAGGTGCTGAGTCCACTGTGAAGAGTCGGGCATATTTCAATGAGACTGGAGATCTTCCATGTCACTTTATAAACTCTCAAAACATAAGTGTGGATAACCTGGTAGCCTTTTGGCAGGACCAGGATAAGCGGGTTCTGTATGAGCTATATGGAGGGAAAGAGAACCAGAAAAATGTTCATCCTGCATATAAGGGCCGCACCAGCTTGGACCTGGACAATTGGACCCTGCGACTCCACAATGTTCAGATCAAGGACACAGGCTTGTACCAGTGTTTCATCCATCACAAAGGACCCCACGGACTTGTTTCCACCCACCAAAAGAGTTGTGACCTATCCGTGTTTGGTATGTTGTCAATGGCGTGTTCAGATCCGAGGCCTTCTAGATGAGACTGCAATGAACAGAGGAACATTGGTGGGGGAAGGGGCAACCTGTAGAGAGAAGGCAGAGGACAGCCATTTCTGGGAAGTCCGTTTGAAGGTAGTGCAGGGTTTGGGAGTAAGGAACTGAAAGTCCTTTGTACTTTTTATAGTTTGCTTCTGAAGGATCAGTAAGAATCTGCTCTGGGAGCAAAATAGAGCTAACTGAACAAAGGTAATATGGCTAAGTAAGAACCATGGGTAATTTGGCTATTACTAAGGTTTATATAACCAGATAGGCCTCAAATCTCTTTTACATAATTTTTTTTCCTTGGTCCAAGATTTCACACCCACTGAATCTTTGGCTGGAGCTCCTAGGGAGGGTGATAAACAACTAATTTGGATTTTCCCTTCAATCTCCCAGAGGTTGCTTATGAGTTGTTTGCTGCCCACCCATGAGCCTGGTAGACAGAAGGGAAATAACCCAATGCACATAGTCCAAACACTGACAAGCTAGCTCTTCTGTTTCTCCAGGCCTTGAAAAGCCTAAATGTCACAACAGAATTTTTTTAAATTATAATATAGTAAAATTAATTATTTTTATTTTGCTGTACAGTTCTGTTAACTAACTTATGTATAGATTTTTGTAACCACCACTCTAAACAGGAAACAAAACATTTGCATCACCCTAAAAATGTTTCCTCTTGCTATCCCTTTATAATCCACACCCATAACATCTGTTCTGCATCCTATAAGACTGTCCTTTTGAGAACATGGTGTGAATGGAGCTGTTAAGCATGTAACCTTTTAAGACCAGCTTTTTTATTCAACATAATGCCTTTGAGATTCATTCAAGTGGTTGCATGTAGCAAAAGTGTGTTCTTTCTGATTGTTGAGTAGCATTCTATTGTTTTTCCACTCAACCCATGAAAAGACACTTGGGTTGTCTGCAGTTTGGGGCTATTAGGAATAGAGGTTCTGTAAACATTCATGTACAAATCTTTGTATGAACATAAATTTTCATTTCTCTAGGGTAGATACCCAGGTGTGGGATTACTAGAGCCAGATTAATTGATGGAACTGGAAAGCACAGATTAACACCAATTCTGAAACCACAGAGTAAAGCAGAGGCAAAAATAGAAATAGAATAAGGAGTTACTCCCTTTAAGTCCTGTGTGATTCAAACTAGGCTGCAGGGCTTTTAGAACCTTTAACGAGGTGCTCAATCAATGTTTTGACACTTCAAACTGCGACCAGGTACTATAGAGAAATATGGTGTCCCCCCCTAAAAGGGGAAACATTGACATTTTTTTAAAATAGTTTTATATTTATTTTAATATGTATTAGAAAAACTTTAACTTATGCAACTTGTGATTTCATAGATATTGCTAATAAGGCTACAACAGTACAGTAGCCTTCCGCCTTCTACAGACCACATACAGTCCAAGCAGAGTGAGTGGTTAAGTAGTGTGTTGATATACCAAAACTTGTAAAGATGGCATGCAAGTCACTGAAATTTAAGAAACAATATACTAAATTACATATTAGTATGTAGAACCTGCAAACAACCTAGTAACTATAGAAGGAAAGCAAGGATTTGGCTACAGAAGGGGCTAGGTGTCAGTGATCCTCAACAGCCATAAAAACCTGAATGGCAAACAAGGCAAGAGAAGCTCTGTGTTTATCAAAATCATATATTTTTTTCCTAAAAATAACTGGGTCTGCCCTTCATCTTATCATCTATGATGAAGACATTCTGACAGTCATGCCCAAAAGCAGTATTTGGAATTTCTAAATCCAAAATCCCCATCCACCCACTTACTACCATCTTACTTGGGTTTCTGGAAGATATGGTCCAGAGCGTGCCAGCACCATGAACTCTGTTAGTACCTGGGGGAACTTAAGTCTCAATCCATTTCTGCTCTCTTGGTCTGGTGAGCTGGGATACTTGGATCCTAAAGTCAGACCACTTCTCCTTCCAAAGACTTTATTCCCTAGAACAGTGGCCTCCTTGTAAATCTTTGGTGACTCAGTTTCAGTCCTCCTATCCCTCAGAGAACATTCCCTTGATTCGGGTAAGCAGGAAGTAAGCATGGCCCCAAACTCTATTATTGAAAAATAAATGTGAGGTCAGTATGTGGCTCTCACCATGGGCCAAGGCCCAAACTTTAAACATCCTAAGGCTTGCAGGTGTACTCCAGAGAGTTCCCAAGTCACGTATCTAGTTATTTGCTCTTCTCTTCTAGATACATCTAAATGTAGACTGATTTTTGTTTGTTTGTTTGTATCTCTATTCTGCTTTCAGCTAACTTCAGTCAGCCTGAAATCATCCCAATTTCTAATAGAACAGAAGATTCTAACAACATGAATTTCACCTGCTTATCTACACATGGTTACCCGGCACCCAAGGAGATGTATTTTCTGCTAAAAACTAAGAATTCAACTACTAAGTATGATACTGTCATGAATATACATCAAAATAATATCACAGGACTGTACACTGCTTCTATCAGCTTGTCTCTCCCAGTGTCTCCTGAAACAAATGCGAGCATCTTCTGTGTCCTGCAACCTGAGCCAACACAGACACAGCTTGTCTCTGAACCTCACAACATAGGTAAAGACTATTTCTTTTATCAGGTATTATATATAAATGGTTATGGCAGGTCATCCAATGTCCCCTGCTTGCCAGAAAACTTCCAACTGAGCCATTTTATACGATTAGGAAGGACTCAAACAGAGGGCTTCTGCTTCCTCTGAGTGCTGCAGGGTTCAGGAGGCTCTGAACCTATGCAGCACTTGAGGGAGCATGTCTTGAAGCCCTGAAACTATCCAGTTTTTTGGAGCTACCTTTAAATAGAAGATTCTGAAATTTAGGTCAGAAAATGCAGGATTCCTCCTGGCTAGAATTCTTTTGTTTCTTCCATTCATTCACACACACACACACACACACACACACACACACACACACACACACACATACACACATACACACATACCATGTGTACATACATACAGCACTTGTTATGAGCACAGAACAGAACCATTCTAGACATTGTTGGTTACAAGGGTGAAAGCTAAAAGGTAGAAGGCCCTTGAGAACCCTCTATAGAATCAGAACTCCATGATGTACACATGAAAAACTGGATTTTAAAAAGATTGGTTGGAATCTAAATTATATCACATGGAAATATGGGATGGAATTTGAAAATGAGTGATTGATAATCAGTTTTATAGGTCATCAGATGTAAGCAAGTTCTTTGGAGGCCTGGGAAGTTTTCCTAAAAGAAGTGGGATCTTGTAGCACAATAAAAGAAATAATTGGCTTAAGAAATGTGGTGAAGAGATAACAAGTATTCAGACTTCTGGTGCCTTCTTGAACAGGAAGAAAAATCCAGGCTTACGAAGTGAGAGGACCACAATCGATTAGCAGTATCTAACATGGGCACAGGCAGTGGTGGTAGGCATCAGTACATATGTGTCAAGGAGAGACTCAGAAGCAGAAATTCTTGTGGCAGGTTGACAGTGTAGTATGGAGACCAGTCCAGCTGGAGGAAAGGGCTGAAACCAAGTAGTGTCTGCTAATAGGAGCCTGCCGTTTTAAAGTCACAGCTTTATCCTTGAGGGAATGCATTTATATTTGAAACCCCACTTTTGAGTAGCAGTAACTGCAAATTTCTTTCCTGGAATAAAGGCACTCTGCTCCCACACTGGCCCCATTACTGTTTGTTCTGATCCTGCCCCTATCTGCCTTCTGCTTGCATTGGCCCTTAGTCCAGCTCTGGCCCCTTGCTTTCTCCCCTCCTAAGACATCCTTCCCACTCCTTATTTCATCCTCTGGCTTTACTGCCTCCTCACTCCTGAGGTCTATTATTCAAATATAACTTGGCCTATGAATGCATTCTTATGAACAGCTTCTGGGGCCAGTCCTACCAGCCAGCTTTCCTAATGGGCCAGTCCTCTCTCTTGGTACTGATTTCCTCTGCTCAGACACCTCTGCCTCTGGAGTCTAGTAGTAAATGGTGAGGCCACCCAGCCTGTCCTGGTTGCTTCTACTGTAGCCTCTGTTGGCCTAGTAAGAGGCCTCTCCCAAGCTATCCCTGAAGTTCAGCACCTTCTTGAAGCCACCAATATCACCACACATGATATGCCGTGGCCCCCACAGTCTGCAAATGAATAGAGCTTTGCCACCACTATAGCCTCATCATGACTCACCATTCTGCTGCTTCTCAAATACTGCCCAAACCTTCCCAACTACACCATCTTCAGAAATGTTTCAGCCCTAGCAGCCTCAGGAAGACAAGGCTTGTCTCTCTGTGTCCCTATTCTAGGGCTTGATCAGAGATAGGTTAAACTCTGAATCAAAAAACCTTTTTGGATATCAAAAGGTAGAGGTCTTCATGTTAACAAGCATAAGCCCCCTTTCTGGTAGAGCCAAACAGGCTCAAGTAGGATAAACTGGGACAGACTCAGAAAGTGTTGAATAAGATCATCTGTAGTTGCAACAACTCCTTAATGTCTCATGAACAGGGATTGGGTCCACAAATTGCAGCTACGTTAATGGAAGGTCAACTGGTCCTATTTTCCTGATCAACTACCAGAACTGTTTCGATAATTGTCTATAAAGTGGACCACTCAGCTCTAAGGTTTTGCCCCAAATCCTGTTTTTCCACTTCCTAGAGACCTGTGAGTCTCCACGCAAGGAAGGAAGTCTTGACCTACCAGGAGCTGATTCTGGCCCTGATTCCTCAGGGCATGAAGAGATAGCAAAGTTTTTCTAGTAAATGAGATGCCACTGAAAGACATGCTTGAGGAAATCTGCCATGACCTCAGAGGAAATAACAATAAACAAACAAAAAAACAAAACTGGAGGTAGGGGGCCTGTGAGGAGGCTGTTATATCTGTCCAGGTGAGAGGTGTCTGGAGCCTCATCTAGAGATGATAGAGGAGGGAGGAATTATTACAAGGGAAACTTTAGGATCAGGGGCCTGACTACATATGGGGCTGAGGAAGCAGATGACTCTACATTCAGAGCCTCAGCACAGGTACTTAACTCAGATTCCAGAATCTAGGGCCAGGTTGATACTCTTGTAGATCACAGTCATTGTCATCCCAGCCTCTGCGAAGAGAAGGGAGCTCAGTCCAGGCATTTGGCCAGAGGCACTGGCTTGGTTCTTAGTTAGCTGCTGATTAGTTAGCTGCTGAAGCCCCCGAGACTGGGACTTTTTATGAACTATTTTGTGGATTTCAGGCCCCTCTGTCAGTAGAGTCCTGGGGGAGATGCTGGCATGTAAATAACAGAACAGCAGTAACTATACACCTTTTATAATCAACCTTCCTGGCTGATTGAAAACTTGTGGTCATTTCTAGATGCAGATGCAAAGTCACCTAAGCCACCACCGCGTCCCCCAGGACATGACACTCTGATTGCAGTTCTACTTTTACTGTTGTTGCTCATTGTGTGTGGGCCGGTGCTTTGTTCAGTACTAAAGAACAAGAAGAAGAAGCAGCCTGGCCCCTCTCGTGAATGTGGTGAGTCAGTGCTCGTCCTGTCTGCAGAGTGCCACTTTGCGGCTACTTCCCTATCAGCTGTTTTCTGGAGCTTGTTGGCTGAGCCCAAACGGGCAAAAAGTCAGCAAGTGGTTGGAGGAAAAGGCTTCCCTTCAGGGTCTGGAACCCAGATAGATGGGACTCAGCAACTGATAACGGTTTTCTAGGAAAGGCAACATTTGTAACCTACGGTTTACAAATACACTTCTGGTTTCCAGACAAAGCAGATTATTCCTTGCTTTACCTACCTACTTCTTGAGGTTGCTGTGAGAATTCAATGTAGTTAAATGGTGAAGACACTTCTAAGTACTCGTGATTAGGGACCTGGTGGTGTGCATGTAGCGGCGATGAGGAGGGGAGCATTAGATAACCATGAGATTCGCCTTCTCATCTCTAAAAGTCTAGGTTTCCTGAGAAATAAGTTAGATGAATTGTTCCCCACTGATTTTTTAAAATAACATCAACTTTTGTTGATTACCAAGTATTACATATCCAGTACCAAATATAGTGAAAGTAAAATCACCTATAGTTCCACTAGTAAGAAAAAAATTATTATGCTTACAACATTTTAGTGTATATTGTCCAGATTTTTCTATGTATAAATGTATGTCATTTTCCATAAGTGGAATAATATTATAAGGATTTTTTTACAATTTGAATAATATCACATGGTTTTTAACTTTTTTGTACAACATATAGGAAGAAAATGTTCAATGTCATGACATATCATTCTACAGCATCATTTTAAATGGCTGTGAGATAGTCCATTATGTGCATACACCTTAATTTTTTTAACTAACTCCATATTGTTGGACACTTGTGTTGTTTCCATAGTTTTATTATTATAAACAGCACTGCATTCATCAGCCTCCCTACTTCTGTCATAAAAGTGGCCTTTGTTTCAGGGGGTGGGGGAGCACAGTGATTCCTGACTTTATAATAATCCCATGCCTGTATGTGGTTTGGACTGATTTGAGTGAAGTTGTAAGATAAGGTTGGACTTTATCTCAGTAATTGCCTCTGGTAGAAGTTTGGTTGGTATTAATAATTAAAGTAATCTCACTCACTATAGTAAAAAGCTAGATGAGTAATGCTTCTGGTCAGCACCTTATTTAAGATTTCAGTGTACTAGTTTTAAGATCCACCTAGAAAACAGATGGATGATATTAGCATTCATTCATTTCCTCCTGCTGTATTTTAAAAACAGAAAATTGGGGAGTGATAACCCAATTTCAATAAATTAACTCAAAGCATATAACAGAGCAATTCAAGCGGCTAAAGTAGGAGGTGTGCTGAGAAATTTTTATGAAGTAAGTATAAACTTCAGAGCACAGGGTCAGATGTACTGATATACCATACTTGTCCAGGCTTTGACTTTTCAAGGTGAGAGTTTTGAGTTTCTCTTTCGTTCTATCTTATGGCCCTTAGAATTGGCTAAATGTGTAGAAGCAACCTTCAGCTTGAGAATAAGCTGTCCCCTAAATTTGCTTTCACGCTGGAATGATTAGCTTACAGATGAAACAAAGAAGAAGGGATAAAGAAAAAAAGAGAGTAAGAATGTTTCTGTTCCCAGTAGGCAATCAGAAAAATTCAGGAGACTAGATAAGGGAGTTAAAGAGGAGGATGTATGTGTTCACATGAGAGAAGTTGGAAGAGGGTTTAAGAAGCTATGTGCGTGCATATGAGATGGTCAAATTGAGCTATGGGTAGTAAAAGGCAGAAGACAACAGACAACAGAGCACACATATGGCCCCCCAAGAGTGTGATAAAGAATACTAGCAGGAAAAAGTTGTTTGGTCAGACAGTCACCTGTGCCAGTGAGTTTTGTCAAAGAGAAGAACCTTGATATCACGGGAGCAAAGGAAATGTACCAAGTAACTATGACATGTGGATATGAGATGTTTGTAAATTTGGTTTCTGTAATTTCAGCAATGTCTGAACTTGCTTTGTGGATACCTCTGGCATTGGCTATATGATAAACAGAATAATGCCCCCCACAAGGCATCCACCCCTTATACCCCAGAATCTATATGTTATCTTACATAGCAAAAGGGACTTTACACATGTGATTAAGATACCGACCTTAAGATGATGACATTACCCTGGACTGTCCAGGTAGACCCACTCTAATCACATGAGTCAGAGAACGTTTCCCAGCTTGATCAGAAAGACGAGATGGAAGAAGGAGAGAGCCAAAGCTTGGGACAGGCTCGAGACACCATTGTGGGCTTTGAAGATGGAGGAAGGGGCCATGAGCCAAGACAGGTGCGCAGCCTCTTGAAGCTGAGAATGGCCCTCAGCTGAGAGCCAGCAAGGAAATAGGGATCTCAGTCCTACGACCACAAGGAACTGAATTCTGCCAACAGACAGACATGGAAGCAATCAGAATCCATCCACAGAAACACAAGCTTACTGATAACGAGAGATTTCTCCAAAAATGAAGCTTCCTCCTCATCCAATATTAATATCTTTCTCAGTAGAGATGGCCCTCAAACTAGTTTGGTGTCAAAAGTCCTTTCCAGTGTTTGCTCAGTAATTATAGTGGGTTTTTTGTGGTTTTTTTTGCCTCAACCATACATTTTTACCCTGTTTAGGCTACTCAGTTAATAAAAGGGAAATGCCATGGTTATTCTAGCTGGTTTCTAATCTCTCTCTTCTCTCTCTCTCTCTCTCTTTNTTTTACCCTGTTTAGGCTACTCAGTTAATAAAAGGGAAATGCCATGGTTATTCTAGCTGGTTTCTAATCTCTCTCTTCTCTCTCTCTCTCTCTCTCTCTCTCTCTCTCTCTCTTTTCTCAAATAAGGCAGATAAGGCATGAGAAACTGTAACCTTGAATTACTGTCTTTTCCCAATTAGAAGCTACCCTGTCAGCGCCCATGGGGGCGGCAGACAAAAATAGCTCCTCCTGAAGTTTTTGTTCCTTATTTGGGTCTTGTGTGACTGAAATCTGTATGTAATAGGGCCCTAGCAACCAACAGTTTTTAAAATTTGCCTCCCTCCACCAAACCTGAAAGAGTCTCAGCTCTTTCAGGAATGATTTCTTAAAGGGCAAGTGTCTTTTCTAAAATAAATCATTTTCACCACCATTTAAACAAAAACCCTCACAGGGCTTAAAAACTGAAAGTTGGTGATATCATCACAGGTGCCCTTCAAAATGCTAAATTTGCAATCAAATCCAAAAGTTTAGAATCTGTGTTTTTATTGTGTGCTTTCACTTTAAAATACAATCTTTTTTAATGGCCATGATTTTGTCATGGGTATAAAAGGATGATTTAATTATTCTGTGTTGATCTGCAGACATCTGAAATACTCTGTTCAGCTATCAGTACCATTATTTTTAAAAGGAAGTTTGGCAAAAATAGAACCTAACCAGATTTATTATTTCTGGAAGCTCAGTCAAATAAGAAATAGCTCAAGTAACCAAGAAAGCTTAGCCAGAAAAAAAATCTTTGGGGAGGACACAAGTACTGCCTTCAAATATTTGAAGAGCTGCCATAGGGTACAAAGATCATATTTAACTGTGGCTCCAAAGCACATCTCAATGGATAAAGGTTATAAGAAAGCGTAAGGAAATACAAGACTTTTCTAACAATTGAAGTTCTTTTAAAATTATATAAAAGACAGAGACTTCTCCTTCCTCACATGAAGGATTAACTGCTACAGGAATTGCCCTTCTGCCATAAACAACTAGAAATCAGACAAACTACATAAACCAACTGTTTTTCAGACATTGGACAATAGGCTGCAGAAAACTGTAGTCTCTGAGAGAAGAAAAATGATGAGCTGAGCCCTATGATTGCCCCCAATTTACTGCCTAGAATCAGTATCCAGGCTGCTCTGAAGGTAGGGGGAACCCTGATACCAAAACTAGAAAAAGAATTACAAGAAAAGAAAACTACACACATCCTTTATAAATATAGATGCCAAAATTGTTAACAAAATTAGCAACTAAAATCTAGCAAATATTAAAAGTATGATATGTTATGATAAAGTGGGATTTATTCCAGGAATATAATGTAGATTCAACATATAAAAACCGAGCATTAAAATTCGCCATATTGACAGACTAAAAAGAAAAACCATGTGATCATGTCAGTGGATACAGAAAAAGCATTTGGCAAAATTAATACCCATTCATAATTTTAAAAAAGAAAGAAAAACTCTCATAATAGTAGGAATACAAAGGAACTTCCTCAACCTGACAAAAGACATCTAACAAAATTCTTCAGTTAGCATCATATTTAATAATAAAAGACTGATTGCTTTCCCCCTAAGATCAGGAATAAAGCAAGGATGTCACTCTCACTATTTTTGTTAAATATTGTACTAGAGGTCCTAGCCAGTGCAACAAGCCTAGGAAAAGAAATGAAAGGCATACGTATTGTAAAGGAAGAAGCAAAACTTTCTTTTTTTTGCAAATAATGTGATCATGTTTGTAGAAAAACCTAAGAAATCTATTAAGAGCTATTAGAACTAATTGAGTGTAGCAAAGTCACAGGATACAAGGTCAATACACAAAAACAAAATTAATTGTATGTCTATATACTGACAACAAACAATTGGATACTGAAAAGAAATTAAATACCATTTACGGTATCATCAAATAATACTAAAAGCTTGGGGATACATTTTTAAAATCAAATATAAGAGCTGTCTACTGAAAACTACAAAACGTTACTGCTTAACAGAAATTAAAGTGACCTGAATAAATGGATTTATATGCCATGTTCATGGATCAAAAGACTAGATATTAAGATACCAGTTCTCTCCCAATTTATTTATGGATCAAAATCCTGGCAGGCTGTTAAGTGAAAATTAAAAAGCTAATTCTAAAAGTTATGTGGAAATGCAAAAGACCTACAATTGCCAAAACAATTCTGAAAAATAAGAACAAAGATGAAGACTATACTACCTAATTTCAAGATTTACTATACAGCTATAGTAATCAAGTACAAGAATAACAAAGGAGACAACAGTTTGGAATCTGAAAAGTAGATGGATGAATGATAAATAGCAAGGTATGACAGCCAAATCTTATCTGTCAGTTGGAAAACCCAAGAAACAACCCAGTTTATATACCCCAGAATCATCAAAAGCACAGACATATTAATCAATTGAACAAAATGGAGAGTCAAAAAAAAACCTCACGTGATCAACTGAGTTTGACAAATGTGCCAAGGTAATTCCAGGCAGAAAGGATAGTCTTTTCAGTAGGTGGTGTTAGGACAGTTAGACAGCCACATAAAAAGTATGAACCTAGACACCCAAAGAATAACTTGAAGTGGATCATATGTCTAAACATAAGAGCTAAAATTAAAAGACTTTTGAAAGAAAACATAGGAGAAAAACCTCTATGACTTTACCTTAGCCAAATCTTAGATAGGACACAGTAAGCACAAACCATATCATAAAAATATGAAATTGGTAAACTGAAATTCATCAAAATTGAGAATGTTTGCCCTTTGACTTTGTTAAGAAAATGAAAAGTCAAGCCACAGACTGGGAGAAAATGTTGCAAAAATGTATGCCTGATAAAGGACTTATATCAAGAATATATAATTATATATTACTACTCAGTAATAAGAAGACAATCCATTTCACAAATGGCAGGGAGCAAAAGATGTGAACAAATACTTAGAATAAGCTATATAAATGGCCAATAAGCATAGGTACACAGTCATAACATCAGTAATTATTAGGGGTATACAAATTAAAGCTATAATGAGATACCACTACACACCCACTAACACGGCTAAAGTTAAAAGGACTAATAAATACCAAGTTCTGGAGAGGATATGAAGCAACTGAAATTATGTTATACAACCTAGCAATCCTAGATATTTACCCATGAGAAATAAAAACCATATGTCTACACAAAGGCACACACACAAATGTCCATAACAGCCTTCTTTATAATACTGCAAACCTGGCATCCTGAATTTTTATCAATTGGTGAATGGATAAATGAATGGTGGTGTATTCATACAATGAAATACTACCAAGCTATAGAAAGGAATGGACTACTGGTAACAAGCTACAACATGGATGAATTTCAATAGCATTATGCTAAGTGAAAGATGCCAGGCACAAACAGATTATGCATTATGTGATCCTACTTATATGAAACTCTAGAAAAGCAAAACTATTGTGACATTAAGCAGATCAGTGGTTACCAAAGGATTGGCTGGGGCAAAGGAATTGATTGAAAATGGACAGGGAACTTTTGGGGCTTATATAATATAAATGTTCTGTGTCTTGGTTGTGGTGGTAATTACATGACTGCGTACATTTGTTAAACTCACCAAAATCCATATGGAAAATGATTGGATTTTGTATATTAATCATATCTCAATTAAGCTGATTATTTTTTAAACACACACACACACACACACACACACACACACACACACTACCACCAATGATAGGAAGTGTTCAAAACCATCAGGAGTGTTGTTGAGAAGACTCCATGGACACCCAGGTTACCAACCCCTGCTGTAAGGTTCTGAATGGGACAATAGCATTGTCACAACAGTCAACCTAGAGGAAGTTACACCTCAGGTTGCATTAGTAGTAAGCCCATACCAGTAGCAACTCAGGCTTTGGGAGGTCTAGCCAGCTACAGATTTCCAACTGGGGCCCATCCATGTGACACCGTGTAGTATTTGGTAGTGCCAGATGGCTAACCCATTTTGGCATCAATATCTTCAAGATTTCCTTTTCTTCCTAACCCTGACTTTTAGAAAAGGATTGGAAACTCTTTTCCGATCACTAAATGATTGCTAAAACTAAATGTGTTACCCCTCCCAGTAGCATTTTTATTTTAGCAAAGAATGGAGCGAAAAACCTCTTTCCAACATTAGAACTTAAGGCACAGTGAGCAGAGGAAGGCATTGACTTTTTGGATGCAAGGTGCTACTTCTCAGTCCTCCTGAAATTGCATCAAGTAACCATCTATTCCACATATAAGGCTACAACGATTTTTCGCTGAGTTCTAAAACTTTGTAGCCTCTTCAAACTTTCCCTCTTTTAGTATTAATGGGCAATACATTTTCTGAGGTTGTTTTGATCTCTTTCAGAAACCACTGAAATGGAGGGAGAAGAGAGTGAACAGGCCAAGAAAAGGTGAGTCCTGACCCTACAACATTGTTGAAAGTGGACCGATTCCCAGAGGGTCTATAACTTGAATAGGCCTAAGTCTGAGACATGCTGAGACCTCAGCAAACACGAACTGATGGAGAGGGAGAGAAAGTGAGACTAGTTAGGACCTAGAGAAAAAATGTCCTAACTGTAAATGAATCCCATGCACAGTGCTCAAGGGCATGACAAGTTCAGCCACAGTCAAGTAAAAAGGCAATACCACAGTGGTCTGATGTGGTGCGTCTTATTCGCCATGGTAACCCCAGTACCTGGTACAGTTCCTGGACTAGTGGCTATCCTACATGTGTGGAATGAATAAATGAATAAATGAGGAGTGATAACATGTTCCCTCTAGCCTCTGTCTTTGCATCTGCTGTGCCTTCTGATTGGAATATTCTTCTGCCACTTCTTTACCTAATTCTTCAGATCTTCGCTCAGCAGAACTTTCTTAAAAACCCTTCTCAAACTAGATTATGTCAGCCTATTATAGTGTCATGTGAATCCCTGTCCTTTTTCTTCATAACACCAAGTATATATACATATTTGTGTAAATATCATATTAAACTCTATAAACTGAACTAAATTAAGCTCTATAGAGGGCAGGGCTCATCTAAGTTAAGCTCATCATTGGGCTGCCAGCACCTAGCACAGTGCCTGGAATATAGTAGGTGCTCAATAAATATTAGTTGAAAGAATGAATGTGTGCATAAAGGAATGCACGAAGATTCCTGGTGATCAGTCCTTTTACAACATGATGTGATCAAATTGTTCATATCTCCATCCCCTCTGAGGAACTGGGCTTGTCAAGAATATCAAGGCTCTGGCTGCATTGTCATGGGGTCAAAGCAACCCTCAGTGAATAGCCTAGTCACAGAGACACGGTTATGACCCCAGAGTGCATAGTCCCCAGAGTGCCCAGCATTTATCTGGATATACTAGCCACTGTGAATCTACGGATCCTGGATGGTGAGCCTGGAAGATGAGATCTTGCCTGCCCTGTCAGTCTCAGTTCAGAAATGGTCCAGAAATGCCTACAGAGGGAAGGCATTAGGGACTCAGCATAGGGCAGGGGCAGGCCCAGACAAAAATAGAGGGTAGTCATCGAAGGAAGCATGGATGACACTTCTCCACCTCTCTCTTCAATAGTTTGTTTCTCCTCATTGCTATTGCAATGGCCCCTTATATTCTGCCCTGTCATTGAAATCTAGAAAAAGAAAGTGACTCTACTGTGAAATCTCACTTCATTCTCTTTTCTATTTTTTTAGAGTAGAAAACCGTGTACCTGGGAGATCTGACGAAGCCCAATGTGTTGTTAACATTTCGAAGACAGCCTCAGGTGACAAAAGTGCTACACATTTTTAACTAAAAAGTAAAGTCCATTTGACCATATCCATTTTTTATGTTTTCAAGTTTTTGGCTGACATTTTTATTGTGCCTCTAACCCTCCTCAGAAGGCAAGAAAATATTGTTATTAACAATAGTGGTGACTCCAGGACTCCATCGAAGTGTAACAGCCTCCCTAGAATTCCAGCTCTGCTCCCTCTGTCAGGCGTAGGTTTTAATTGCTTCTTTTCATTGCAGATTTTGTGGGCCAAGCCCACCTGACTGGCTCCGGGCTCAGGAATAATATTTAGGGCAACATCTCCTGTTTCAGAGTTGGCCTCTTTGCTTAATTTTAATTTTACAAATTATGTTTTCTGTAGCACTCCCATTCCTAAGATAGTGACTTCTGTCTACTGTGAATTCTAAGATAGTGAGTGCCTCAGTCCATCTTGTGTACTTGTGACTGAACACACCTACCTCTTCAGTTTGAGCGGGAGCTACATACTGTATGGCTTTATCGTGTTAATATTAAGATTTTGAAATGTAGAAATGTGTACTATAATAATGTAATTACCATGCCCTGAGTCAAAGCCATCTGCTAAGGAGTTCTTGTCCTTCTGTGAGGGTCAGTCAGTAAGGAAAACAGTGGCCTAGTGCGCTGATAACAATGAGCAGACGAACTCAAAATTTGGGAGTCTAGGAGAGACGGACCTGGAAACAGCTCTAGACCCCGGAGCCACTTCTGTATGGGCTGTTGCTAACATTGAGGAGGATCTGCATACCTAACAAGCTATTGATAAGCCTTAGCAGAGCGCGCTGGATTGTGCGTGAGCCCAACTTCTCTTCTTTAAAAAACTGACTGAGATAACGACCTGGGCAACTATGCAAGAGCCAATAGAGAGATCACAATATTCAAACGAGAAGAAGAAGAAAAAAAAGAAAGATCTTGGCGAATAGAAATGCACATGAACGTCCAGTCTATCCAGTCCTTCAACAAGCCTTGGGACAAGCAACAGATGGACAGTCTGTCCAAATGGATGTAAAACAGATAATAGTGTCCTGGGTGAGGGGTTTTGATGGTGCCCTGGACATTGTGATGTTTTACCTGGCTGGAAGCAAAGCTTGGGAGAGAGCGCCATCATCTTGATAATGGGATGAATGGAAGGAGGCTTAGGACTCTTTCAACTAATGGCCGAGAGACAAAGAGCTGGAGAGAAATTAGGAAGACCAGAATGTAAATCATCCAGAAGCTGATTTAAGCTGCAGATGCCCTAAGGAGATATCAGCTGGCCCAGAACAGTGCTAGTGAGCTTTTCTCTGAGGACTGTCTATGCACGTCATTCTCAATGGCAGGAAAACTAGGTGCAGGAGAAGAATATAATAGCCCAGTGGAAATGAGTTAGGAGACCCTGGCTTTAAGGCAGCATCACTAAGGGATGGAGCAGCCTCAGTCCAAATCTAAAGAGAACTTTGGGAGGCCCAAGCTACATAGATAGTTCTGTAGACCATAGAGGGCTGCAGACAGCTGTGCCAGTCATGCTCGTCCTTGTAACATTACCATTTGTGTGTTCTGCCCATACCCTGCCTTCTTTAGGCTCTAAGCATCTTGTTAGTTCCTAACGTGTTTTGTACCAAGTAACTATCAATAAATTCTTATCAAATTGATTTCAAAGTCTACATTTTCTGGTTCTACTTAGCAGTACTACTCAACCCTTATAGTCTGATGTTACTAATGTACAAGGTGTGATCAAACAATATGGTGAATGTTTTTAAAAAAAATTATTACAGTAAAAAACACATTGCCATTAACCCCCCTCAAAATACCCTCTCTTGCTTCAAACGCCCTTATCCCGTCATTCTTGCCACTTTCTGAAGCAGTTCCAGAAGTCCTCTTTCGTAAATGTCTTTAGTTGTGCTGCCGTGGCTGCCTCGATGTCCTGAATCATTTTAACTTTGGGGAAGAGCCAGAAGTCACATGGTGCAATATCCAGTGAATAAGGTGGATGAGGACACACTGTAATATTTTTATTTGACAGAAATTGCAACACCAGAAGTGATGTGTGACACGGAGCATTGTCATGATGGAGGATGATTCACGGCACACTTTAAAACACACCTTCTCTCAACTGTAGCTCACACCCGACTGACTGCACTGAACAAGTTGAAACTTGTCACACACTGTTACTAAGGTTCAAAGCTCCACTTGCCATATTGAAGATCCCTGCCTTTCCAATGGATGGCACTCAGCAGCAGCAGTCACCGTATTTGCTGGCCACAATGGGAAAGACTCCATGTCACACATTGCTTCTCGTACAGCAATTTCTGTAAAAACATGTCCTCATCCACCTTATTCACCAGATCTGGCACCGTGCGATTTCTGGCTCTTCCCCAAAGTCAAAATGACCATGAAAGGTAAACCTTTTGAATTGATTCAGGACATCAATGCGGCCACACAGCGCAACTAAAGACACTCACGAAAAAGGACTTCCAGAACTGCTTCAGAAAGTGGCAAGAACGATGGGATAAGTGTGTTGGAAGCGAGGGGAAGTATTTTGAGGGGGATTAATGGCAATGTGTCTTTTACTGTAATAATTTTTTTTAAGTTAAACATTCACTGTATTTTTCTAAAATCAAACCTCATAATTCTTCCTCTTAATGTCTCTGTGGTAGCCACATTCTCCAGTCACCCTAGCTAGAAGCCTCTGACTCATCCCAAACCCTCTCCTCGTCCCTTCCCCTAACCATTGTATGGAAAAGGGGTCTAATATGATTCTATATGTTTAGCTCAGTAATGAGGCATGAACGATCAGGAAAGAGAGGTTGTTTCTGAGGACCACTGAGAAATTCGGAGTTAAGGAAGGGACCTGCTTTTCAGTTCGTAACCTTTTATACTGTGTAATTTTTAAATTATGTGCTTGTATACACACTGAACCAAGGCTAATGTAACAGTATCCCTTGAAAATACCTTGATTATAAAATAAATTTATATAGCTGTATTATATATTTCAATTGCTAAGAGAGTAGGTCTTCAAAGTTCTCATTACAAGAAAAAATAATTTGTAACTATGTGTGATGATGGACGTTAACTAAACATTGTGGTAATCATTTCACAGTATATACATATATCAAATGACTATGTTGTAAACCTAAAATTAATACATTATATTTGGATTATATGTCAATTAAAAATAAATAAATAATTACACAGAAATTCTGAAAAAAGAAAACTGTCTAGTCTCTGTGAAGGCACGGATGTGTCCAACTTCTTCACCAATGGATCCCAGGCACCTAAGATAGTGCCTCCAACCTATTTGTTGAAAGATTGAGTGAAACATTAATATGTCCTCTGATAAAAACATTTCTCCATTATATATTAAATTCTCTAGACCTTCTGTGTTCCAAATCTGGGGAAAAGAAAGCCAAGAACGGTTAAAAGGGGTCATTAGGTTTAATAACAGTACTAACGTTATTGGTGTTCACCTTGTACCAGGGACTCTTTTAAACCTTTAAATACATTATCCCATGTAATCCTCATAATGACTGTGATGTTGGCATTGGGATCTGATGCCCATTTTGCTGATGAGGAAACCTAGGCACCAAACTGTTTACCCAAGTTCACTAACTTAGGGGCAGAGCTGGGGAAATTTTGTGAAGCATCGCCCCTCCACTCCTTTATTTCCCAGCCTCATGCTTTCTGGCCGCAGAAGAGACAGTGTTTGGGTTGGTTGAGATTGAGTGCCTGTACCACATCTAGCACTACACTGCCTCAGCCCCCCACGCCCTGCAGAGTTATCCACGACTGAGTTTTCCAGAAGACATTCCATCATTTCATAAGGCCTGAAGCTGTGGATGATAACGCACATGATGTGACTGGGGAAAATGAATTTTTGGTCAGAGGGAAAGTGAACTACAACTGCTGCCTCCAAATCCTCCCCCTCCGTCCCTGCCACTTATTATTCTTTTGTAATTCACCCTCCTCCCTCTGCCATCCTGAAGCCAGTGTCATCCACTCAGTGTCCTCGCATGTGTTAACACAGGCTAGAAAGCACAGTCATCTCTGACTGCTGCCCTCCGACCTTTCCCTCAACACCCACTGCCCACCTCCATCACACCGCCACATCTGGTCATCACCAGGCCAGGCAAGGATCCCTCCAGCTTTAGCATCCACCCCTTCTTTTCTCAGTCAGGCCCTGATTTCCTCATGCCAAGGACATGACAATCACCACCCAGCTGACCCCAGTCTACTGTCTCTTACCCTGCATTCTGTCAGAAACATCAAAAGGAACAAGGAGGTATGTAGTAAAAGGAAGATCTTCACATTCTTTGTTCCTAACCACACAGAGGTTAGGAACCTCTTTCTGTAGACACACTATGCCTACATATAATAGGTGTGTGTGTGTGTGTGTGTGTGTGTGTGTGTGTGTGTATAGTATCAGTTTAATGGCAACATTAATGTGGATCTTATAATAAAAGTGAGATTCCACTGGCTTCCACCGTGGCAACCTGTTCACTCCAGGAGGAAAACTACATACAGATCCAGAGTCCCACACTGTTCTCAGACACAAATTTTCAAATGTGTCCCAATCTGAACAAGGTATGCCATAGGTCTGGGTGATAATAGTCACCCTGAGCTCAATCTCCTGTTTCCTGCATTTTATATTTTGTCTTTCTTGACATACTCCCTCACTTTGGTTGTAGATATCCACCAGTAGCTTTCTGAGTAAGGATATCTGAGAAGTAAATTTAATGAGATTTTGTGTATTTGAAAATGTCTTTATCCTACTCTCCTACTTAATTGATCATTTGGCTTGATGTAGAATTTGGGATTAGAAATTATTTTCATTGCCTCCAGCTTCCAGTGTTGCTCTTGAGATATCTATAAATGTTCTGACGTTTTATATTTTTATATGAAAGCTTTTAGGACCTTCTCTTTATCTTCACTGTTCTTAAGTTTTGTAAAGAAGTGCCTATTCACCCACTGTGATTGGCACTGAGGTGGCCTTTTCTATCTGGAAACTTACATCTTTCACTCAAGGGAAATTTTTCTGAACTATTTCATTGATCATTGTCCCCCTCTATTTCTCTAATCTCTCATTCTAGGATATTGGATTTCAATGTTGGATGTCCTAGGCTGATATTCCTGTTTTCTTATCCATCTTTTTGTCTTTTCTAATTCTGAAAGATTTCTTTAACTGTATTGTCCAAACTTTCTGTTGTGTTTTTGAATTTCTGCTATCATATTTTCATTTCCAAGAGTTCCTTTTTGTTCTCCAAATGATTCCTTATTCCAAGGAACCTGTTGTTAATGGTTGCAATGTCATCTCTTAACTCTCTAAAGATATTAACAATAAGTTATTTGTTTAGTTTTATTTTTCCTGCATTATCTCTGTAGCCTCCAAGTTGCTTCTTCCTGTTTGTTTGCTTTGTTCCGTATCATCTATGTTGGACGCTTCCTCAGAGGTCTGATGATCATTGATTGTTCACAATTAAGAGTGAGGAACTAAAAATTTGTTTGGAGGATCTGAGTCCATGGATGGGCTTTCTAAATTTAACTTTACTGTTAAGGGATCTGGGTGGGCCTTTGTTGGCAAACCATCTTTAGTTCTTTCCTCTTGGGCTGGTAGTTTTGCCTGAAAGGCAGAAGTCTAGCAATCAGCATTTTGAGAACCAAGTGAGAGAAGAGGGGTGTGTGTGTGTGTGTGTGTGTGTGTGTGTGTGTGTGTGTGTGTGTGTGTGTGTGTGATCTCTGTAGTCTTTATTCAATATACGTAGATTTACTTAATCCATGTGTTTTCAGTATGGTAACTCTATCCTCAGATATGTGAAATATCTCTCAATGAAAACACTTTCTGCTTTACCTCTTTCAGAGAAAAAGACTCTAGACTTCTGCCCGGGTAGGAAAGGGAAGTTGACCAGCTGTGTGGAATGAGAAAGGATGGCTCAGCTCTAACTGCTTCTCAAACAACCTTTACTCAGTCTTCTTTATTTTGGCGCTCATCTTTTACCCCACTGTCACCCTCAATTGGTCACCAGTCCTGCCAGTCCCTGAGGTTTTAGATGATTCTGGGGTATATATTGGGTTGTTTCTTGGATTTTCCAAATGACAGATAAGACTTGGCTGTCCTGCCTTGCTAAGTTATTTACCGTTCATCCTTCTACCTTTCAGATTCCAAATTGTCTCCTTTCCTATTCTTGTACTTGTTACATTTTTCCATTTAAATTAAAAAATAGTTTTTCTTTAGCTTTAGTGGAATTTCAGGAGATAATAGAATTAAATGTGTATATAACCTACCATCTTACCTGGAACTTCACTACTCAAAATTTTCAAGAACTCTGCCATTGACTGCCTTTAGCTTAAAAATTCAAAGTCATCAACAATGTGACTCAAAACTAACTCAGCTCTTTACCAGCCTTATTTTCCCCTCTTCTTATATTGGCAAAACATCCTTCCAGATTTAGCTACTAGTCATTTCCAAAATATAGCTTATATTACCTTTTTTTAAAAAAAAATTTATGCTATTCTGGAATATTTCTCCCCATCTGCCTCTGCTTATCACTCTCTTGTTCATCATTAAAGCCCAGCTCAAATACCACTACCTCTGTTGGTTCACATATCTCACCACTACCCAGGCTACACACAATTGACACCATATCCTTGTGATCAA